GCGGTTGGTGGTTGTAAAACTTAAGAGAAGGCTGGAGGTGATGACTTCTGAATAGCTCGTGGGAAGTCAGGTCACGGTTGGTGATCAACTGAGTGGAGACACAACGCATAACGGCTGTTGCGTTTGGTGAGGAGAAATCATACCAAGACCTGTTGATGATCGATTTACTGAAACCGAATCAAGTCAAGCGCCGAGCCACAGTTTCAGGTTGAAGTCACAATTTTCGGCTTACGAGATCTGTCCGCTTTTCTTTGCATGAAGATAGAAACTGGGACAGGCGCTATTGTTCTGAAAAATAAATATCCAAGTTCACATTCTCGTCTCTAGCGCTAATATCTTTTAAGTAACATCTTCAGAATGAAACAAACCTAACTGAACATATCTCCTTTACTAGTCATTTGGACAATCATATAGTCCTAGGCATATATCAGTAATAGACTGTGAAATAAATGAGAATTAATGTTAAGCATGTTTCACCCCCAAGCAAGGAGATAATGCTATTGGAAAGCAGGGCGTGACAGGGGGTTAAAGGTAATGGGGAAGATTGAGGAAAGGCCAATAAAGGAACAGGGTTCAAGAAGACAGAAGATGGCGATTGATGTTGCATTTAAATATTTGAAGATTGTAGTTGACAGGGAAGCAAGAAATCGGAAGGAAGTTCCACAGGTGAGAAGTGCGAGCAAAGAAGCTCTTAGATTAGAAGTGGCGCTGCATTCCAGCTGGTTAAACAGTAAAATGGTGAGACCTAGTTGCCAATCTAGTAGCACGATTAAATTCATGTTGTCGAGGCACAAGTGAAAAAAAGCTAATCAGAACAGTTGCCATGAAAATATTTGTAGAAAAGACAGAGGGAAGCCACGTCACGTCGGTGAGAAAGTGACTGAAGGTCAGGATGGATTACATTACAGACCATTCTTTGGATTTTGTCAAGAATATCGAGCATATATGCAGCAGGAGCACTAGACCAGATATAGCAGCAGTATTCAATTTACGGAGAAATGGTAGATTTATAAATATGCAAGATGGATTTTGTCGAGAAAAATTTTCTGGCGCGACGCAGTGAACTAACTTTCCTAGCAGTAGACAAAGCAATTGATTCGATACAGTCAACCCGCTTCATGTTAGTGGAAAAAGTGAACCCAAGAAAGCTTAGAGCTTTGCTTTGTAAGCTCGGTTTACTCTAGGAAGAGGCCACACAGTGAGGGGCAATTTCAATACGTTAAGACATGTTCTGCAGAGTGACAGAACTAATTTCAACTCGGAACTAATTTCAACTCGATTTAAAAAACCCTAACCTCTAACCCTAACCCTGACCCTTACTTTCGAGTTTAAATTAGTTCGAAGTTGAAATTAGTTCCGAGCTGAAAATTATTCCCAGTTGAAATTAATTCAGAGTTGAAATTAATTCTACACTCCGTTCTGCAAGCTATTCTAATGACAATGCTAATATTAATCGTTTCCTTATAAGGAAATATCTGGCATTCATTGACCGAGTAGCTAGTGCTACTTTCAGATGAAATTTATTAAATCTTTCTATTAAATTAACATTTTCAGGAAAAGAGTTTTCTCAAATCCACTAACTGTTGTTGCTCTTTCAGGTACTGATAGCTTTTTCATAACTTTTTATTTAAAGTAGTGTGGAACGTCAACACCTTGGTTATATCATTATCTTCTCTTTGAGTTACATGTGCTAACCATTTCAGTTGTTGCTGCTGTTGAAAGTCCTTAAGTGATGTAGTTTCTATTATTTGTTAGTGTTATGGCTCTTTCTAGTATTGATGGGGGGTTCCTTCCTAACTTTTTCTTTGAGGTATGTCATTATTTTCTCTTCTCAAGTCCAGTAGCTGTTATCGCTCTTTCCAGTATTAATTGAAACTTCCTTCCTAACCTTTTGTTTGTAGTAGTGTGGAACATCAACACCTTGATTATGTCATTATTTTCTCTTCTCAAGTCCAGTATCTGTTATCGCTCTTTCCAGTATTGATGGGGATTTCCTTCCTAACCTTTTCTTTGAAGTAGTGTGGAAAGTCAACATCTTGGTTATGTCATTATCTTCTCTTTCTCATGTGCTAACCATTTAAGTTGTTGCTGTTATTTAAAGCGTTGTGGGTTCTGTCATTTGGTACAATGTTTTGTTTGTGATCCTGTAGCGCCAGTTCGTGAAGTTCGAAGAAGGATGATCCACGCCAAGACCTAAAAGTTTTATAGTTTTACTGAAGTTACCTGCGATATACCGTTTTCAACGGTATATTATCAAATACGTATGATAGTAATTCCCCAAATGAGGATTAATATTACATTCAGAAACTTTTAGCTCTTGTTCGACTAGAAGGGCCTTTTTTTAAGGAAAAAGACGTAAGATCTATAACAACACATATCCACCCCCAAGAGAAGTGTGTGTGTGTGTACAAAACACACTCAGTTGCAGCCTTTCAAGGAAGTCCATCCTGGATCTGACGATGAACTACATCCGGGAGCTAGGCCTCTGACCGGGAGGTTTTGAGGGGCGTGGAACCACCTCTTAATTGCAGGTGGTAGCATCTCTTAGGGCCCCATCTATAGGCAAATAGTTAACCCTTAGACTGGGGTCAAGCACTATGAAAGTATGAACATTTTTATAGTAAAAATACCAGGTATGCATTTTTGAAAAAAAATTACCAGTAATATATTTTTGTAAAAGAAATTACTAATGCTCCCAAGAAAATTAAATTAAATGACCCATAAGTTGTTGATATGCCGTGAAACAAACATACTCATACTCTAAGGAAGTGGATTTGATTATAGAGGGGAAGAAATGGTAATCCAGATGGTATTATATATAGCGATTTACTAAGTATAATTTAGATGTGGCACAAGGCTGAAAGCATGGAGCATCAAGTAAGGATCGAACTCACTACTCAGTCGTAATTGATCTAACGAGATATATATTGTGGAGATTAATCATTTTTGGCCCTTAACTATGTTAAATATAGAGTTAAACATTTTGGTCTAGGTTTTAACAAACCAGATGCAGGCTCGGCTGGGTCATTTAATAACTCCCGATCAGAGGCTAGGTATATCCAAGACGAAAACGTTTTTGATAAAGGCATTATATAAAAAATATTACTGAGGTGGGGATCTTGCGAGACGATTTGACCGAAGTTGTATCGCTCTCTATTGCGCTTTGCACCTGAGTTGAGGTATCCTTCACTTGGTTGGTGATCCGAAGCGCGCTCTGGGTCGGTAAAATATCTTTCTCGTTGTGTCTGGTTGATTCAAAAGAATGCATATGCTGTGGTGGCATGAAGGAGTCTATTGAGCGCACCTCTAAATCTGCAGTTGCCTGGTTGCTGGGTTAGCCCGCTGAAGGTTACATAAACCACATGCTTCAAGGATATATTTTTGTCTTTGTAGTCAGTTCTGTTTGCCGCAATGTCACTTACTTTGTGGAGAAGCAAAACTCTATTTATGTGGTTATTCAGCGTTTTGCAAAGACTATGGCAATTTGTCTCATTCTTCTCACTATCTTTAAGTATCAGCTTAAGAATAAGTCTAGGAATATATATATATATATATATATATATATATATATATATATATATATATATATTATAAATAAATTGATTTAAAATATGTTTTTTCGCTACACAGTTCTAACCATGTTTCATGGTTAGAACTGTGTAGCGAAAAAAACATATTTTAAATCAATTAATTTATAATATTAATGCTCTGTAAATTTACATTGAGAACTATTTTGTAAAAAATAAAATATCTATAAGAACACCGGATTATATATCTTACTGTTCTTTCTTTTATATATATATATATATATATATATATATATATATATATATATATATATATATAATATGAATAAAAAAGGGGGAAAAACTATTCTTAGCCGACGCGTTTCGTCCTCTGAGGGACTTTCTCAAATGTAGGATTCATTTTGTTGCACTGTTCATCAGGTGGCTGAGAGGTCAGTCAAAAGATGTGGAGCATACACAGTGCCATAATTCAAAGTCTGGTAAAACAAACGTGAGCGAGTAATATTCAAGAATTACACGACCACTAAAATGTTAAAAAATCCAAGGAAAACAGTTAAATCCATTACCTCATATTTTTGAAGATGTAAAGGACACACGTTCATCCCAAACCATAAAAAAATCTGATCCCATTTTAAAACAATATTCATTTATTAAAAAAAATCTTGAATATTACTTGCCATTGGTGTACAAGCCATTTCTCATATATATATATATATATATATATATATATATATATATATATATATATATATATATATATATATATTTTTTATATATATATATATATATATATATATTGTTTTATATATATATATTGTTTATATATATATATATTGTTTATATATATATATATATATATATATATATATATATATATAAACAGCTATTTCCTACTGCTATTAATGCATTACTCTTCAAGTACGAATTGAGTTCTCCGGGCCACTGATGTATTTCGGATAGAAAACGTTAAAATTTCTCTTTCTCTCTACCGTGCGATAGCCTAGGAGTAGGATCTCTGACTGATATCAAATCAGTCGGTTTTCTTTCTCAGCTTGAAACAATCGGACGTTTACCCACAATGAAGAGCTGTGATACAGCGAAGCAGTCTGTCTATAGATGACAATATATGTGTGTGTGTGTGCTTGCGTGTGTTTGTGTGTGTGTGTATAGAGAGAGAGAGAGAAAGAGAGAGAGAGAGATAGAGAGAGCGACAGAGAGCGTTTGTCGCATGTGTCAGTGGCTAAATTGGTATGGCATCTTGAAATAACTCTTTACGAAAGAATTTTGAGTTTCTGATAATATTTTGTTAACTCTGATTAAGTTATTCTAAAATAGCTCTGGAATTGTACACGTTGGTCATTTATAGAGAACAGACTTGAGGCAACAGAAATGTGGTTCTACAGAAGGATACTGAGAATACCATGGACTGAACATGTAAGAAATGGGGAAATTTTAGAGAAAATAGAAACAAAAAGGACACTTATACTTAACATCAGGAAGAGACAATATAAATTTCTAGAACACATAATGAGGAAAGAGGGCTTAGCAAATTTGACACTGACAGAATATATTTGGAGGCAAA